CCATTTCACCAACATCAACATGGGATGGTTGGGGAAAGGTGCATGACACGTGTATCGTTAGGAACACAGGTCTGTTCAGAAAGCTGCAAACAGGTACTTTCTTTCCAGACTGCAAAATAACCATTGGTGATGTTGCAATGCCAATTGTGATCCTGGGAGACCCAGCCTACCCCTTGCTCCCATGGCTCATGAAGCCGTACACAGGCAGCCTGGACAGCAGTAAGGACTGGTTCACCCATAGGCTGAGCAAGTGCAGAATGGTGGTGAAATGTGCTTTTGGACGTTTAAAAGGTTGCTGGTATTGTTTGCTTACTACGTTAGACCTCAGTGAAAGTAATATCCCCATTGTTATTGCTGCCTTCTGTGCTCCATAATATCTGTGAAACAAAGGGAGAAAAGTTTCCGCCGAGGTGGGGGGTTGAGGCAGATCATTTGACAGCCAATTTTGAGCAGCCAGACACCAGGGCAATAAGAACAGCATGTTGAGGAGCTCTCCCTCTCCATGAGGCTTTGAAAACCAGTTTCAGCAATGAGACAGAGTAATGTGACACTTATCTATGTTCCTTACCAAACTGTCCCCTCCATTGCATTTTCTCCCCTGGAAACTCCACCCCACCAACCACTGGTGTTGAATGAAAAAATAGCCTTTTCTCCTCAATCCGTTAAGTTATATTATGCACACATACACACAGAGACAGCAAAGAAAAGTAAGATAACCTGGGGCAAAAGTGCTGATAACACTGTGGTGGGAGAAACAAGGAAAGCTTGCTTACAGGTGCACTGCAATAACTATTAAAGGTCTGGGAATGGGCGCCTTCTGGTCCTTGTACTCTCCCCTGGTGTTAAGTGCAAGGAATACTGAATTCCCCCCTCCCCCGCCTCATAGGACGTTTGGGGGAGGAGGATGTAGAACTGGGTGATTATGGCAGCAGATTCAGCATAGGCTGCAGAGGGACTCTAGCATCCAGCTGCCTTTCTTGAACCTCAACCAGAGGCCTCAACATGTCTGATTGCTCCTTCATAATCCACAGCACCTCTTCCTGCGTGGCACGTCTTGTTCCCTGCATGCCCTCCTCTCCTCCCTGTCCATGTCCAGGTTCTCGGACAGTGCAATCCTCCATGCTCTGAGCTCTATCTTGTCACTCTGGAGGTGTGCATTAACTCATTGAACATGTCCTCCCGAGTCTTCTTTTTTGCGCCTTCTAATCCGGGAACGTCTCTGTCCCAGTATGCGTCGACAGACAAGTTTTCAGCTGCAAGGAATGCAAAGCACCAAGGTAGCATTGACAGTGCATAGATTGTTTCTGGTGCAAGGTTAATTTTTTTTAATTAAAAAAACCACCCCTCAATACGCTTCACTGCAAGCCACAATGTAATCACAACCGCTGGCTACTGCAAGAGTCGGTTTGCTGCTCCGGCCATGGTGAGTAAGAACACAAGACATGGGCAAGAGGTCTTGTGCTGCTGCTTTTGTGAAGACATCCTTGGATTCCCTTTCCCCTGGCAACCTGAGGAGAGGCACTGGTGTAAAGCCCCCCAAATAGTTTGTTTTTTACAAAAGTGGCATCTGGTTGGGGGGGGGGGGGGGGGGAGAAACAAACAGGAAGCTGCCCTCCCCCCCCACCTTTTTTTCAATGCTGCTTGCAGTACACAGTTATCTCTTCCAACCACAACCACGGCACGTTTGGGAAAGCATCGTTGTGTGAGCCAGATTTCACCAAATGGGGTGGATTACTTGTTGAACTGTTTGCGGTTTAAGGGCTAGCATTGAAAACTTCCCCCATTTCCCCTCGGTGACCCTATGCGCTATCACTCTCCTGAGAGTAACAGAGCAAATGCTGCAAGCGTCTGGGTAGAGACCTGGTCCTTTATGCTACAATGCTGTGTGCTGCAATGATGCCAGCAGAGGTAATACTGGAGTGGCGTGGGAAAGTGTCCTACCATGGTGGACGAAATAAGGCAGCCCTTCCCAGAAGCCTTCTGCAAAGGATTGTGGAGTACCTTCATGAAAGCTTCCTAGAGATCTCCATGGAGGATTCCTGGGCCATCCCCGTACACATAAACAGTCTTTTTTCGGAGAGCACCCTCTGTGTAGCTGGAGTGGCCACTGATACCTACTACACCTACTTTTTTGTTGAGATTTGAACATAAAAAATAATAGCATGTAACCCCTACAGTTTGATTGGCAATGTGTACTCACCAGACGTGCCTTCCCTGGCATCATGCTCCATCGCCAACTGGTCCTGGGAAGGGATGGGCTCCAGGGTTAAAAACAGTTCTTGGCTGTCAGGGAGAGGGAATCCTCCACTTGCCTGCCTCACATTCTCCTCCTCCTCCTCCTCTTCCTTGTCAGCAAAGTCCTCCTTGTTGTTGCTCGAGGTCGCCCAAGGCTCCTGGGAGGTATCCACAGAGCGTTTTGGGGTAGTGATGGGGTTGCCGCCGAGAATCGCATGCAGCTCCTCATAAAAGTGACATGTCTGTAGGGCAGAACCAGAGCAACTATTCGCCTCCCTTGTCTTCTGGTACACGTGCCGTAGCTCCTTTATTTTCACACGGCACTGCTCTTCTGTGTAGCCTTTTCCCCCATGCCCCGCACAACCTTGGCATAGATGTCAGTGTTTCTTCTGCTGGATCGGAACTGTGCCTGCATAGACTCTTCTCCCCACACAGCAATAAGATCCACCATCTCCTGTGTACTCCATTCTGGAGTGTGTTTGCGGCCTTGAGTCTCCATGATCAGCTGTGCTGGATGAATGGACTATAAGGTGGATAGAAAGCTGGCTAGATCGTCGGGCTCAATGTCTAATTGGCAGCCGGTATCAAGCAGAGTGCCCCAGGGATCGGTCTTATTCAACATCTTCATTAATGATCTGGATGATGGGATGGATTGCACTCTCAGCAAGTTTGTGGATGACACTAAGATGGGGGGAGAGGTAGATATGCTGGAGGGTAGGGATAGGGTCCAGAGTGACCTAGACAAATTTGAGGATTGGGCCAAAAGAAATCTGATGAGGTTCAAGAAGGACAAGTGCAGAGTCCTGCACTTAGGACAGAAGAATCCCATGCACTGCTATAAGCTGGGGACTGACTGCTAAGCGGCAGTTCTGCAGAAAAGGACTTGGGGATTACAATGGACGAGAAGCTGGATATGAGTCAACAGTGTGCCCTTGTTACCAAGAAGGCTAATGGCATATTGGGCTGCATTAGTAGGAGCATTGCCAGCAGATTGAGGGAAGTGATTATTCCCCTCTATTCAGCACTGGTGAGGCCACATCTGCAGTATTGCGTCCAGTTTTGGCGCCCCCACCACAGAAAGGATGTGGAAAAATTGGAGAGAGTCCAACGGAGGGCAACGAAAATGATTAGGAAGCAGGGGCACGTGATTTATGAGGAGAGGCTGAGGGAACTGGGCTTATTTAGTCTGCAGAAGAGAAGAGTGAAGGGGGATTTGATAGCAGCCTTCCACTACCTGAAGGGGGGTTCCAAAGAGGATGGAGCTCGGCTGTTCTCAGTGGTGACAGATGACAGAACAAGGAGCAATGGTCTCAAGTTGCAGTGGGAGAGGTCTAGGTTGGATATTAGGAAAAACTATTTCACTAGGAGGGTGGTGAAACACTGGAATGGGTTACCTAGGGAGGTGGTGGAATCTCCATGCTTAGAGGTTTTTAAGTCCCAGCTTGACAAAGCCCTGGCTGGGATGATTTAGTTGGTGTTGGTCCTGCTTTAAGCAGGGGGTTGGACTAGATGACCTCCTGAGGTCTCTTCCAACCCTAATCTCCCTAATCTTCTATGATTCTAGATTAGGTATTCCTGAATAACTCCATGTATGGACATTCTTATTCCGGAATAAGAGCGCTTTGTTCCTGTTACACTTAGGCTATGTCTTCACTACCCGCCGATCTGGCGGGTAGCAATCGGTTTATCGGGGATCGACTTACCGCGTCTCGTGAGGACGCGGTAAAATCGATCCCTGATCGCTCTGCCGTCGACTCCGGAAATCCACCTCGACAAGAGGCGGCAGCGGAGTCGGCGGCAGCGCGGCAGCGGTCGGCTTTCCCCCGTCCTCACCGCCAGGTAAGCCGACCTAAAATACGCAACTTCAGCTACGGTATTCACGTAGCTGAAGTTGCGTATCTTAGGTCGGAACCCCGCTGTAGTGTAGACCTAGCCTTAATCTGCTTTCAGAGTGGATTAAACTAAAGAGGAACAAAGTGCTCTTATTCCGGAATAAGAGTATTCACACATGGGGTTATTCCAGAATGGTTACTGCATTTTGCATTTACACCCCACCTCAATCGGAATTAATTTTCAAGTGTAGACAAGCCCTAAAAGAGCTGCTAGGTTATTGCTCTAACCCTTGGCCTTCCTTGCATTTTCTTAGTTGCTGTTAATTGCTGTGCAATAGCCGCTGTCTTGGAAACTGCTCTGCGTGGGCACCTACATGAAGCCTAGTTGACTTCAGAGTGGCCTATAGAGCATTTGGCAGGTCTGGGGCTTTCATCTGAATGCTCTTTGGGCACATGTAAATTATCCTGCGCAATAGGAATAACAAAAAATGTGATTCTGTCAAACACCAAAGTAACCACGTGTGGCTGAGATGATGTGCAATTTGTAAAACCCTCAGTGCTGCCTGTTTCTCGTGGTTCTGTTTATTCTTTAGATGTTTGCAGTTTTCTTTTCATCTGTGTTCCATTGTTTCATTAGAGATACAGGTTAAACGCACTGGATGGCAGTTGCCAGAATCTGGCTTCTTTCTTTTTTTGAAAATGGGTACCATATTTGCTTTCATCTAAGCTGTCACTACCTCTGAGTTTTTCCAAATATCATTGTCTATAATTCAGCAAATTCAACAGCTACTTCTCTGACAGTGAGATGCATGTCATCTAGACTTGCTGGTTTGGAGGCGCACAAATTTCACTCACTTGCTTCTTATTAATTCACTAGCATTTCATTGTTTTTTACCTGCCCTGTCTGACAGGCCTTTTGCTTGTTTTTTGCAGATAAACTGTGTGACTTTTCCCCACCCAGACACAATGCAAGAACAGCAGTTGCTGAAACCCACTGAATGGAGCTACTGTGATTATTTCTGGGTAAGTAGGCAGCCAGCCACATGCCACGCGCGGCAGCTTCTGAGTTTCAGGAAGAGCAGAACAAATTGCTAGGTTTGTGTTACGGAGCAAATCAGAATTCAGTGTGGCAAGGTGCTGAAAAAGACACACTGTAGCAAGGAGCAGCACCAACTCTGCTGCGTCACTTCTGCAGGGCCTTTAATAAAGCACAGGGCACGGTGTGGTGCTAGAGGTGCTCTACAGAACAAAGAGAAAACAAGGGAAAGTCTCAAGGGAGGGAACATCGCTCCTGCAGGGAGAGTGGAGTGTTTGTTAGCCTCAGCCCCAACCACCAGACCAGGCTGCACTGAGGAGAGAGGGAGCAGCTAAGGTCATAGAATCATAGAATATCAGGGTTGGAAGGGACCTCAGGAGGTCATCTAGTCCAACCCCCTGCTCAAAGCAGGACCAATCCCCAGACAGATTAATTTTACACCAGTTCCCTAAATGGCCCCCTCAAGGATTGAACTCACAACCCTGGGTTTAGCAGGCCAATGCTCAAACCACTGAGCTATCCCTCCCCCCAAAGGTGCTGATGTAACTCCGACAGACCCCGTTGTCAGCGGGCAGTATTGAACCTTGGACCTCTGGAGCTTAGTGCATGAGCCACTACTGCATGAGCTAAAAGCGATATGGCTGTTAGCCAAGGCTGTAGAGCAGACTCATTAATCTCTCTCTAAGTGGTCATTCAGCCCACGTCCTCTTTTCATGCTGATGACTCGCAGAGCTACCTCTCTGCTCTGGACCTGGCCAAAATGGAACTCCTGATCCACCACCACCACCAGCACAAGCCCTTCTATCTTCTCTGTCATGATGGACAGCACCACCACCTTCCCTGTCATTCAGACTAGCAACCTTGACGCTATCTTTGCCTGAGCCCTCTCTGTTGACCTATCCATCAGCCACGTCACTTGCCACTTCTTCCTGCACAGCTTCTCCAGGATCTGGCCTGTCATCACGGCCAAAACTCTTATCCAAGCCCTGATCATCTTGCTTTTTGATTACTGCAGTCTTTACTGTATATGTGAGTACAGCATGCAGCGCAGTGAGGCAAAAAGCACAGCAATTCTGAAAATATCCCCTATGCCCCAGAGACATGGAGGGTGGAGTTAGACATTAATCGAAAGTGTAGGGAAGAGGGAAAGAAAAAAGGTGAAAATGAAACAGAGAGAGAGGGGGCTCCAAACTGCTCCAAAGTCAATGGAATTATCCTAGGGATGAACTGGGCCAAGTAACGAAACAAACAATGATTGAAAGAATGAATGAATGGCATTATTATTAGCCCATGAAATGAGGTGGTCTTTTACATACTAAAGGGGCTATCACACTGGGTACATTCTATCAGGCACTGATGGAGTAGATGCTGAGCAGAGGGGAGGAAGTCATTTAATGGTCTTCCGAGGCACATTTCAAAGTGTTTTTAATGTTCTGATCAGCAGCTTAGATCCCAGGAGGAGCCTCCTGCGAAGAAAAGCAGCTGTTCCCACCCCTGGAATGCCATCTTTTGGCAGCATTGCTGTAGTTAGGATTCTAGGAGCCATGACATGTCTTGTGTTGTACACGTCCTCTCTGCCATTTCTCTTCTAGGCTGATAAGAAGGATCCGCAAGGGAACAACACAGTATCAGGGTTTGAAATTCTGCTCCAAAAGCAACTCAAGGGGAAACAAATGCAAAAAGAAATGGCAGAGTTTGTTCGAGAAAGGTAATTGGAAGCTTTCTGTTGAGTTTAATATTTCTTGTAATCACTTTATTTCCATGAATCGAGCACGTAGCCTGAACTCTGGAAGTTGTGCATATTTTATGAAACACACACAGACATTTAATTTCATCACTATCCATCCAAACTCTCCAATTTTTGCCAAAAAATGTTCTCCTTCAGTGCACCTGTTAGCTTTAGACTTCCCATGTCTCTTTAAGGTTTGTGAGTCACTTAACTTGGTGGAATGAGGATAATCAATGGGACACAGTAATACCAGGGTACGAAACATATAGGAATGGCAGAATAGGTCGTACTGGTGGGGGAGTGGCACTACATGTGAAAGAAAGCATAGAGTCAAATAAAGTGAAAATCTTGAATGAATCAAACTGTACCATATAATCTCTATGGATAGAAATTCCAGGCTTGAAATATGAGACAATTTAGGTGCTAAAGGAGCACTCAAGGAAGATAAGGCCATTGCAAGAAGCTAAATGAATTCTTTGAATCGGTCTTCACTTCAGAGAATGTGGGGGAGATTCCCACACTTGGGCCATTCTTTTTAGGTGAAACATCTGAGACACTGTCCCAGATTGAGGTGTCAATCAAGGGGATTTTGGAACAAATTGATAAATTACACAGTAATGAGTCATCGGTACCAGATGGTATTCACCCAAGAGTTGTGAAGGAACTCAAATGTGAGGTTGCAGAACTACTAACTGTGATATATAAACTATTGCTTAAATCAGCCTCTGTACCATATGTCTGGAGGATAGCTAATGGTAATATCAATTTTTTAAAAGGGCATCAGAGGCTATCCTGGCAATTATAGGTCAGTAAGCCTAACTTCAGTACCAGGCACATTGTTTGAAACAGAACTATGACACACAGATAAACAGGATATGTTGGCAAAGAATAAACATGGTTATTGCAAAGGGAAATCATGCTTCACCAATCTATTCAAATTCTTTGAGGGGGTCAACAAGTACATGGACAATGGTGCTCCAGTTGATATAGTGTACTTGGATTTTTAGAAAACCTTTGACAAAGGCTCTTAAGCAAAGTAAGTAGTCATGGGATAAGAGGGAAGGTCCTCTCATGGATCAGTAACTGGTTAAAAGTTAGGAATCAACAGGTAGAAATAAATGGTCAGTTTTCACAATGGAGAGAGGTAAATAGCAGGGTCCACTAAGGACCTGTAATGGGATGAATGCTTTTGAACATATTTATAAATGATCTGGAAAAGGGGGTGATCAGCTAGGTGGCAAAATTGACAGACGATACAAAATTACTCAAGAAATGTAAGTCTAAGCTGAATGTGAAGAGATACAAAGGGCTCTTATTGAACTGGGTGACTGGGCCACAAAATGACAGATGAAATTAAACGCTGGTAAGTGCAAAGTAATGCACATTGGGAAAAAACATGTTATCACTCAAGAAAGAATTGGAGTCATTGTGGATACTTCTCTGAAAACATCCACTTAATGTGCAACTGTAGTCAAAAAATCTAACAGAATGTTAGGAACCATTTGAAAAGTGATAGATAATAAAACAGAAGATTTCATAATGCTCCCATGCTCTGGGTGTCCCTAAACCTCTGACTGACAGAAGCTGGGACTGGACAACAGGGATTGGGATCACTCAATAATTGCCCTGTTCTGTTCATTTCCTGTGAAGCATCTGGCATTGGCCACTGTCAGAAGAGAGGCTACTGGGCTAGATGAACCATTGGTCTGACCCAGTATGGAGATTCTTATGTTCTTCTAATACCACTATATAAATCCATAGTACCCCACACCTTGAATACGACATGTAGTTCTGGTTGCCCTACCTCAAAAAAGATATATTAGAATTGGAAACGGTATGGTGAAAGGCAACAAAAATTATTAGGGGTATGGAAAAACATCCATATGAGGAGAGATTAAAAAGACTGGGACTGTTCATTTTAGACTAAGGGGGGGTATGTTAGAGGTCTATAAAATCATGAATGATATGGAGAATATGAATAGAGAAGTGTTATTTAGCCCTTCCCTAATAAAAGAACCTTATTAAATTAATAGGCAGCAGGTTTGAAACAAAGTACTTCTTTACACAATACACAGTCAACCTTTGGAACTCTGTGCCAGGGGATGTTGTTAAGGCCAAAAGTATAATTGGGTTCAGAAAAGAATTATATAAGTTCATGGAGCATAGATCCATCCATGGCTATTAGCCAGGATGGTCAGGGATGCAATCCCATGCTCTGGGTGTCCCTAGACCTCCAACTGTGAGAAGATGGGACTGGACAACAGGGGATGGATCACTCAGAATTGCCTCAGACGCATTTGGCACTGTCCACTGTCAGAACATAGGATACTGGGCTAGCTGAATCATTGGTTTGCCTCAGTCTGACCATTCTTATGGGTCAACAATATCTTTTATCAGTGAGTTCCACAGGTTGATTATAATAGGAGATAAAAAGAAACACTCATGAGTAAGGCCCCACTGGAAAATCTGATGATTTACTTCGCCGTGTGGTGGTTTTGTCCATATTTAATATATTTTCACTGCTGTCTGTTTTCTGTAGGATAAAGATTGAGGAAGAATATGCCAAGAACTTGTCCAAACTGTCTCAGAACTCACTGGCTGCTCAAGAAGAAGGGTAAGGAGCCTTTGCACAAAAGGCATTTCCCCTAACTTAGGCACATGCTCTTTTCTTGAGGCCCTCCATAGAGCAATGGGTGATTCAGCCTATTATCCTGGCTCTGTTAGTAGGGGGTAGAACCTTCTGGAGCAGTAGTCCATTGATTGACAGGGCCAGTATGTTTTTAAGAGCAGCTGTGCAAAATATTAAAAATTTTAATCATTTATGTTTAATATTATAGCTGTTCTAAACTACAGCAATTCTTGGGGTTCAGCACATGGCAGCACTGCATTGCTGGAATCACAGAGGGATCTGTGCATTAAATGAAGTTGCTGATTGCTGTCCCTCAGGGGACCCAGTAGCATCAGGAGAGAGGGAGATGCAACAGCATCTTCTAATCCTGGGTTCTTTCCTCCCGTGGAGCAAAAGGAGAGACCCTCTCTCCTTTGCGCTGTGTCTGCCCTGGGGAGGAGGTAGGAGGCCCAGAAGTGATATGCCAAAGAAGGCAGGGGAGGGCTCATGTACACTGCTTTAGTTTCCCTGCACTAGCACGTTTCTGTGCCATTGACAGAAGTCACTGATGTGGAGGCCCCGTCACTAGATGTGTTCAAGAGAAGACTAGGAGAATCTTTTGGGGGCTAGAGTACAGGGGTGCTAGGAGTTGGTTTCACGATTAATGGTCTCTAATTATAAATCCTTATAATATAATTCATTTAATGAACAAAAACAATTTAAAAGGGTTTAAAGTTCGGCTGTCGATTAATCGCAGTTAACTCATGCAATTAACTAAAAAAAATTAATCGCAATTAAAAAAATTAATCGCGATTAATTGTAGTTTTAATTGCACTGTTAAAAATAGACTACCAATTGAAATTTATTAAATATTTTTGGATGTTTTTCTACATTTTCAAATATATTGATTTCAATTATAACACCCTATACAAAGTAGACAGTGCTCACTTTACATTATTATTTTTTATTACAAATATTTGCACTGTAAAAATGGCAAACAAAAGAAATAGTATTTTTCAATTCACCTCATACAAGTACTGTAGTGCAATCTCTTTATCATGAAAGTGCAACTTACAAATGTAGATTTTTTGTTATATAACTGCACTCAAAAACAAAACAATGTAAAACTTTAGAGCCTACTTCTTGTTCAGCCAATCGCTAAGACAAACAAGTTTGTTTACTTTTACGGGCGATAATGCTGCCCGTTTCTTATTTACAATGTCACCTGAAAGTGAGAACAGCCATTTTCATGGCACTTTTGTAGCTGGTATTGCAAAGTATTTACGTGCCAGATATGCTAAACATTCGTATGCCCCTTCATGCTTCGGCCAACATTCCAGAGGACATGCTTCCATGCTGATGATGCTCGTTAAAAAACTAACACGTTAATTAAATTTGTGACTGAATTCCTTGGGGGGAGAATTGTATGTCTCCTACTCTGTTTTACCTGCATTCTGCCATATATTTCACGTTATAGCAGTCTCGGATGATGACCCAGCACATGTTCATTTTAAGAACACTTTCACTGCAGATTTGACAAAACGCAAAGAAGGTACAAATGTGAGATTTCTAAAGATAGCAACAGCACTTGATCCAAGGTTTAAGAATCTGAAGTGCCTTCCAAAACCTGAGAGGGACGAGGTGTGGAGCATGCTTTCAGAAGTCTTAAAAGAGCAAGTCAGATGCGGAAACTACAGAACCCAAACCACCAAAAATTAAAATCAACCTTCTGCAGGTGGCATCTGACTCAGCTGATGAGAATGAACATGTGTCAGTCCGCACTGCTTTGGATCGTTATCGAGCAAAACTCATTATCAGGATGGACGCAGGTCCCCTGGAATGGTGGTTGAAGCATGAAGGGACATATGAATCTTTAGCGCATCTGGCACATAAATATTTTGCAACCTCGGCTACAACAGCACCATGAGAACGCCTGTTCTTACTTTCAGGTGATAGGCACATGATTGCGGGCAGCATTATCTCCTGCAAATGTAAACAAAATTGTTTGTCTGCGCGATTGGCTGAATAAGAAGTAGGACTGAGTGGACTTGTAGACTCTAAAGTTTTACATTGTTTTATTTTTGAATGCAGTTATTTTTTTGTACATAATTCTATATATGTAAGTTCAACTTTCATGATAAAGAGATTACACTACAGTACTTGTATTAGGTGAATTGAAAAATACTGTTACAGTACTTTTCTTTTTTACAATGGAAATATTTGTAATAAAAAATAAATATAAAGTGAGCACTGTACACTTTGTACTCTGTGATGTAAGTGAAATCAATATATTTGAAAATGTAGAAAATATCCAAAACTGTTTAAATAAATGGTATTCTGTTATTGTTTAACAGTGCGATAAATCGTGTGATTAATCACGATTATTCTTTTAAATTGTGTGATTAATCGTGATTAATTTTTTTAATCGCTTGACAGCCCTAGTTTAAAGTTAGGTAAGCGTGACAGCCCTCCAGGCAAACACTTCAAACAAAAGAAAGCCAAGTTATGGGACATCTCTTATCTGTGTCCTAACATGACCCAGCACCTTTCTACTGGCAGTGAGAGATCCCACAGCTTCACAGAGAGCTTCCTCCTTCTTCCAGTGAAAGAAACACCTTTACCCACCACACATTAATCCCCTTCACTGTATAACACCACACCTTGATTACAAGCTGAGCAGCAGCTGCTCCAATTCAGCACTGCCATCTGTGTGCAGACTCAGTGTGTGGTGTGTGTTTCTGGGGGAAGTCTAAGGTTCTGTGCAGGTGGGGTTGGATTCTAGGTAGATGAACACATCAATGTGGAGAGCATTGATGTGTTCATCTACCTAGCTGCACACAGAGTTCAAACGGCTGCAACAAACTGGATGTTCTTCAGTGAACAGAGCTTGCCACCTCCAGCATGAAGTCCATGTCTCACTTATGGATGCAAAAATGTCTTTGTACTGAGAGAATTCAGGATCTATCAAACTTGTGTACCGCCTGTATTGCTATGCGGGTCAGAAATCTGGACCTTCCTACAGGCAGACTTGGAGCAGCTAGAGGCATTCCATAAAGGAAACATTTTTAGTTTATTTTTACTCATCATCTGAAAACTAGATTTACTTGAAATCCTCTAGAAATTCAGCCTTCACTCACAGATTAGGTGTTGTAAATTTGGGGAGGGTACACTTATCTTCATACAGAAACAAAAACAAATCCATAGATTGAATTCCTGCTTACAATGAAAGATGAAATTCAGTGTTAATTTGAAAATATTAATCTGATCCTACCATTATTTGGCTTTTTGCCTTCTGGGCACTCTGCTACTGTTGCTGTCTTGACTGCCTGTAATTGGAGGTCCCTTTCCATAGCCTCTTTTATTTCCATCATTTTCACTGTGGAAAGTGGGACACTGTGTGCACTTCAGTGATTTGCCTGGAGATGTAACAATGTTTTCAGCGGCAGGTGTCTTTAAGACAGAACTGAGGGCTATGAAGCAGACACGCAGCTAAACCACTTTTGTACACAGGGTTTCAGAGGTCTGCAGGCGCCGGGATTCTAAACATTGTGGATGATAGAAGGTTTTAATGACTGTACATTTTCCATTAGCTAATGTGAGGGAATTCTATTGGGAGGGGGCTGTCCAGGTCTTTGTGTCTGAGATGTGAGAGGTGTGAACTGGTACTACTGTCTTAATGCTGGAGGGGACAACAGTCTGATTGATTAAGCTGTAGTAGTTGAATGGTGCATACATGTATATTGAGTATGATACAATGCAGGGGCTGATACACTGCACAAATGAAAGGTTGCCTCATGAATTCCAGTGGGGGCCATGCATGGGTACAAGGCACGGATCAGGGCACTGACCAGTGATGCATTGTGTTTTTCAGCACCTTAGGCGAGGCCTGGGCCCAGCTGAAGAAAAGTCTGGCAGATGAGGCAGAGGTTCATCTCAAATTTTCCTCTAAGGTAATCTGCAAGCTCCTCTGTTCACACAGAGCATTCTCCAGGAGTTTGGTAGTGGTCTAGCCTTTGGGGGATATTAATAAGGAAAATATGAACATACACAGGTGGTCCAAACGGCAAACATCTGAGAGCACTAAGGAAATCTGTCAAATCTGTGTGTTTTCCTATGCTCTCTGCAAACACTGTTCTAACCCGTTAGACCCCACTCTGCTGCCAGAGCTGGGAACAGAACCTAAGAGTCAGATGGGGGAGTATTATTATTATTATCACCCTGTCCTACAGAGAGGGACACTGACACCAAAAGGCAAAGGGGACCGATAGCCTCGGCTGTAGCAGCAGGATTCAAACTCACAGGCCAATGTGTGGCCAGCTCATGTGCAGGGGTTATGTGGGGGGGACCAAGACACCTCCTTCCTCTTGCACACCTGATGAGAGGGCTGGAAAACACTGCAGGCCATTTGCTCAGTGGAGCACAGAGCCACCTCTGTCCAAGTATGTTGAGCAGCATGATTTCCCAATGCAAAGGGAAAGAGGCAGAGCCATAGCCCCACTCCCTCCTTTCCTCCCTCCCTCCCTCCCACTCACTGTCGTCCAAGGCCACCTGCAGTGAGGGATGCACTGACAGTCTGTGTGGTCCCCAGCTCACTGGAGAACTCAGGGTGTGACTGTGATGCCTGCGCTGCACCTGGGAGAGGCAGCTTCCTGCCACCTTCGAGCTGGGGCGGGGACAGTCTTGTGGTTAAGGCACAGGAGGTTTGGGTTTAATTCCTGGTCCTGCCACTGGCTCCCTGGATCACCTGGGGTAAGTCACTCACTCTCTCTGGGCCTCAGTTCCCATCAGAAAATGGGGATAACAGCACTATCCCCCCCAGGGCGTGGGCTGGGGAAATTCGTTACCTGGGTACGAGGCACTGTGACGGTGGCTGTTACAAGTATCTCTATTGGAGATTAAAGGTTTCAGGCTTTCCAATGAGAGAGGATAGCAAGAGCCTAAGAATTTGTGACCTTTGAGAAATTCCTCCTATGCTCCCTTAACTGATGGGTTGGGGTGGAGGCAGCTTTGCTCCAGGCTTTCTTTGGGAAGGGAAAGATCCTTAGCCCATTCTGCCATCATGCTGCTAAAATTACATCTCTGGCTAAGTATGAGCACCACATTCTCGTCCATTGTGACCAAGCCTTCCAGGAGAAACAGCTAACTTCATCCAGTCTTGTTATGCTCCCGATCAGCGCTTGGCTGTTTGCACTTCCCGGTGCCCCTTTCTATTGTCATTCCCAGCTCCAGAGTGAGGTGGAGAAACCACTGCTCAACTTCAGAGAGAACTTTAAGAAAGACATGAAGAAATATGACCATCACATCGCGGATTTACGGAAGCAGCTGGCTAGTCGCTACACAGCAGTAGAAAAGGTAAGCGCAGAGAATGAAGCAGAGTGAGCTCTGGTGGGATAATCTCGTCTGGGTCACAAGAAAAAACAACTCATGGAATGCTTCTCTTCAGCTTCTAACTACACAGGAGAGAACTCTGCCAGAGGCTGTGTGTGGTCTCCTGTGCTAAACTCCTAAAGTCTTGTTCTGTTCTGGTGATTAATAGGAAACCAGGGAGGCAGTGTCATGTCTGGAGATATTTTTGTTACATTACATTGTGTCTCTAACCCAACCCTTCTCACTCTCTAAGTTAATATATTGCTATGGCATTAGGTGAAAATATCCATCCTGATGCATGCTCCATGGTCACATTAGCCAGACAGGGCCTGGCAGGGATGTCAATCTAACTTGGGTCACCTAAGGTCACCAGCAAAGCATCTGCCTGTTGTACACACACCTTCAGCAGACAGCTGAGGTCATGCTCCACCCCTTCTCCTGACTGACTCTCTGACTGGAGAAAGGGCAGGAAAAGCCAGGTGCCAGCACTGTTTGTGTCCTGTATGAAGCCGAAACACAATACTGCTGAATTATCCAGGTGTTAGTTGTTAAGTCCCTGCTGAGCATTCTCACAGGAACCAAACTATATGCTGGAGTGCACATCACATGGCCTTCCCAGACAGCCAGGGACACAGCACATGGAAAACTGTCAGTCTGCACTGCTTACATGTAAAGCACTTTCCCCAGCTGTGCTAAGTTCTTTAGACTCATGTCTGAAGCAAGCATGATCCAACCATTTATCCAGAAGGATAATTAAATCAGTGGATCAGAAAACAAATACAGACCCCCTGGGTGGCATCTGCTCAGCATGACACAGACAAAGGAGATAGCCCTCTGCCAGGCTCCATTACCATCAGCTTCAATGCCCTCTTATGGCCTGGCCAGCTAAGCCCAACACCAAATAGTCCTCTCTCAAAATCTTTCAAAGCTGCAAAATTAACCCACCAGTAATTGCCTGTGAAGTTGATGTAGAGAGCCATTATTCCAGAGCTGGGATGTCGGTGTTTAACTCAGCACATACACAAATAGCAGCCTCCAAATTAGGTCAAAATCTCCAATATGTTACAGGGGGCAAAAGAGTGTTGGCCTGATTTTTAACTAAACAGGCAACAGCTTGTGCAAAACACGTCTAACTTGTGTGTTTAGGTAACCTCAGCAACTGTGCATACAGACAGGGTAAATGTATTCACAGGTGGGTAACATGATAATGTGTGCCTACAGTTTCCTCACCTGCATGTACAGTGGCAGTAATTATACTCTCAAATTAGGTCTGTTAACATGATGGAGCAATTTACATCAAGGTGATTGATTTAAATCATTATTTAAATCACTTGATTTTTTAAATAAATTATTAATTTAAATCAGATTAAGGCTTTGGAAAAACTAATTTAAAATTTTGTTACTGCAACTTCAGATTAAAATGTTTTAAAAAAAAGAAAAGAAAACAGAAAAAATCCCTGAAATTCTATAACAATCAGAAAACTAAAGAAAAGTTCAAGACATCCACATTCACAATTGAAGACTATGAAATAAGAAGACAGTAAAGAACAAGCACCATGCAAATAACAAAATCTGATCAACACATTAAAAATAAGGATTTGAATTTAAAAATCAGTTTTTAATCATGATTTTTAACCACCCTGGTCTTAAATGCTTAAACCCTAAGAGCCCTTTGCTAGAGCAGGTGAACTGAGCTCTTTTTTGCTTGCTGTCCAAGATATACTTTTTCTTCCCTGGCTGTCTAGCTTTATATTTTATCTCTGCTACACAGAAACAGGCTGATATAAAGCACTGTGTAGATTAAACTCATTCTGAATTGCACTGTGAAAGCCTTTTTGTATATGAATTCATTTGGCACATTGAAGGAGCCCAATTCTCCAACAATTTTTTTTTCCAATGGACAATATTGCAAGGGCTGAGTGTCTGGCTTGCTCTGTTGGTGATTGGAGATGATTCATATTTTTGGACTATCTGCACTGCTTTCATCATTGTAGTGTCAGTGCCTCACAATCATTCATGAATTTTATCCTCACAACACTGCTGTGGTGCAGGGAAATGCTATCCCTGCTTTTACAGAGGGGAACTGAGGCACAGAATAGATTGAGGAACTTGCCTAAGGTCACCCAGGAAGCCTGTGGCTGAGTCAGAAATTGAAAGCAGATCCCCTGCATCTCTGTGCAGTACCATAGCCACCGGACCTCCCTTCCTGTAATTACTCTCACTCATTGCAAGAGGCGAGGGCATGGACAAGAAGCTGTGGCACACACCCCAAGCCTTGTACTTACATGTCATAGGAATGTAGGCATTGCCAGGCTGCATCAGACCTGAGGACCATCTAGTCCAGGATCCTGTCTCTAATAGTGGCCAGCACCTGCCACTGCAGAGGAAAGTGCCAGAACCCTGCAGTAGCAGATGTGGGGCAATGACTCCCCATGAAAGTCTCCTCTTAGGCCCTCATACTCAGAGCCTGGTAGCAGGAGGGTTTGTATTCCTTTCAACGTTCTCTCCTTTTAGTATTTACTATGATAACTCTGGATATTTTTGTAATATAAAAAATGTCCAATCCCCCTTTAAATCTTGGTAAGTTTTGGGCCTCAGTGACATCCAGTGGCAGTGAGTTCCATAGGCTGATTACACATTGTGTGAAAAAGTATTTTCTTTTATCAGTTTTGAATTTTCCACCTTTTAATTTCACCTGTTCTTGTGCCCCAAGACAGAAAGATTAGACCCATGGCTTCTCCCTCTCTCCTGCAGTGCCCCATCTCCCTTCAAGCCCAGACCTGACCCAGATCGCCAGTTTCTCTGCAGGGTCTCCCTTCATCACAGGGAAACCCCTTGCACTCTGGGCCACCAGATTTCAGTTTACCAGTGTGTCTGCACTATGTGGGGAGGGCAGCAGCCCTTCCTCTGATGACACGAGTGCACATCTGTCAAATTGGGGGTGGCAGTGTCCCCCCATTAGCAGCTGCTGGAGATGGGGACCCCAACCAGCCACCCCAGAAGGTAACAGGAACAAAATGGAGAGGGCTTTGTGTCCCTAACATAAGACCGGTGGGTAATGGGGCAGCAATTAGGACTATCAAATGAATCTGGTGTTTAATATCGCTAACCCTTATAACATGAGTCCTCGCTACATCGGACTAAAGCTGAGCAATAATCAGTTCATCAGTTTGTTGGTCAAACCAAAAACCCAACCCCAGTTCATTTCAGATCAACCCAAAATGAAAATGCTTTGGTTTTCTCAGTGAAACAAACATTTTGGGTCATATGAATGTATCGCTTAGATTTCGGGTATTTTAAACCACTTTTTCTATTAAAAGCAAATGAAATTTGGAGATGCCATTCACAAAGCCACTAAAGGAAGAGGTACCCCCCACTCCAGATCCTATAGCCTGGTGGTGAGGGCTCTTGCTTTTAAAGTGCAAGACTTAAGGTCATAGTCTTGCTCTACATCAGGCACGAGGGACTAGAACTTGGGTTTCTAGGGTTATAGCCAAGGGCCACATCCACTGAGCTATCAGATATTCTGGGGCTGGGGTGGGCTCTCGCAGTCTCTCCTGCTAAAGCTGTAGCACTTTGTTTAATATTAAATATGTATTGAGCCAGAGAAAGAGCAGAAGAGTGAATCTGTAAGCCCAGTGATCTGGGGGGCATGTGGGTTCCAGTCCCTGCTGCAATGAATAGTTGATTAGTTATACAGAATGGAACAGCTTCAAGAGGAAATTGAGAGACCCACCCCCCGCGGACCCAAGCGTCCAGTGCTTAGAGTACTCACCTACAATATGGGAAACCCACTTATTGTACTCACTACTAGCTCCAGCTGATTTAAAACTACATTTTTGGCAAATAAATGATTCATCCAGAAAATTTCACCTAGCTCTAATGGGTCATTGACTATAGGGTAACACCCGGGTTCTTGTAAGTTGTCATTTCTTCTCATGAAATTGCCTGGCCAGGTCCCCAGTGTCTGTGGCTTGTTAAGCAGACCACAGAGCCATCAAGAGCAGCCCTAACAAGGGCTCTGTGCCACTTGGTGCATGATCACCTGTGCAGCTTGTATTGTCATTGCCATAGAGGGTTTTCAATCTAAGTCAGGAGGGACAATTCCCTCAGCTTTTCACTTGGCTTCTTGGTTAGCAAATGAGAGGTTTCTGTCCTCAAACCTAATCACTGCTGAGACAGGCTGGCTGAAGCTGATGAGAACCGGGCTTTAAAGGACACATTGGGTGACATAAAATGTCCCCAACATGCATATCACTACAGAGTACCTACTTTCTGTACAGGGATGATTTCATTTGGGAGGAGACGGACTCTATAGACATCGTGAGGCAGCTGGAAGTTCTTCTCCTGTAAGGCATGTCTGGTGTGCTTTGTTTATTCAAGGCCCGGAAAGCCCTGACAGAGAGGCAGAAGGATCTGGAAATGAAAACCCAGCAGTTGGAGATAAAGCTCACCAACAAGACAGAAGAGGAGATCAAGAAAGCGAGGCGGAAGTCCACTCAGGCTGGTGAGTGGGTGAGGCTTGAGGTTCATATCTGGTCAACTGAATTAGGGAAGCCAGTATGTTGCAGTAGATGAGGTGGGGTGCAAAGGGGGCCAGAATGAGAGATGAGGCTGTCGGGATGGGAAGAAAAAGATGTTCCTGGCGAGGTGATGAGCAAGCAGCAGCAGAATTTGCATGTATGGGGGAAGGAAAAGGGAGGAGGAAAAAGTAACCACCAGATTGTGGGTCTGAGTGGTGTGGAGGATGAGGATATTGTCAACAATGATAGAGAAGGGTGGGAACCGGAGAAGATTTGGGAAGGAAGAGAAGGAGCTTGATTTTGGCCATGGTAAGCTTAACGGATGACAAGACATCCAAGAGGCGATATCGGCGAGACAGGCCAAGCTAGGAAATTGGATGGAAGGAGAAACGTCAATGGTGGAAAGAGATTTGAGAGTCAGCAGCGTAGAGCTGTTACCTGAACCCCGTGAGCTGATGAGAGACAGGGAGTCAAGTGAGACTAGCAGGGAGCAAAGGGTACAGCATTGGGATACCCCACTGACAGGGCGGAGGAGGACCCACCAGAAGGGAAATAGAAGAAACTGTCAGGCAGGCAGGTGGGAAACCAGGAGAGGATATTATTTTGAAAAGCTGGGAGGAAAAGATCTCGGCAAGGAGAGGATGGCTGACAGAGTGAAAAGCAGCAGAGGTGGGCGAAAATGGAGTAAAGGCTCTTAGGTTTGGCCAGAAAGAGGTATGTATGTATGTGTGTGTATATATATATATATATATGGAGATATACCTATCTCATAAAACTGGAAGGGACCCTGAAAGGTCATTGAGTCCAGCCCCCTGCCTTCACTAGGCAGGACCAAGTACTGATTTTTGCCACAGGTCCCTAAGTGGCCCCCTCAAGGATTGAACTCACAACCCAGAGTTTAGCAGGCCAATGCTCAAACCACTGAGCTATCCCTCCTCCGAGGTCACTGGGGCCCTCAGTGAGAGTGGTGTGGGTAGAAAGAAGAGGGCCCAACATGTCTTAGATTGGATTTACAAATCTATTGAAAGACAATTTGGCCTATGATTTCTATCCCACTCCTTCCAGTTAGTCAGCAAAACCCCTAGTTAAAGTTAGCCAATACTTTCTACTATAAGACCCTTATAACTTCACCAAACTTTAACTGTTCAGGGTAAAATTCTCCATGCCTGGTGTCTGCCTTACTCTAAAGTTTTTTGGAAAGTTCCAACAAAACTGGTCCAGCTATTTACAAGAACAGGATGTGGGGAAAATGCATTGTTTTGCCAATGGTAAATATTGCCTACTACCCGAGAAGCTCTAACGCCTGTGTGCTTTGGTCCCAATCTCATTGATGACCCATCTGCAGGTCAATGTGCATGAGGCTTGTGGGTTGCTGGCAGGCTGTTGGGGTCAGAGCTCTGGACCTAAGTTGCGCAGGCACAAGACACCCAGGGTTACAAGGCTGACAGTGACCGAACTACCTCCTCCAGCCAGATTTTGAATGGGGCCCAATCTGGCAGTCAGTCTCTGAACATGCCTACCAGATTAGGCCCCACAGGTATCTTCCCGCAGGTATCATCACCCATTTCATGGATTGCAGTAGAACTTAGGCAAGAGATAGGCAGAAGTGCACATACCCCAGTGCAGAAATTTAGGCAGCTAGGGAACTGTTACAGCGAAAAGTTAGGTGCCAAGTGAATTTAACACCTGCAGGGTTCAGTGGCAGCCAAGTAGGGGTTTTGTGGACTCAATGGTGCCTAACACTACGACTTAGGCACCTAAATCTGAGGTTTAGGCACCTAAGTACCTTTGAGTATCTGGGCCTTATTCTTCATAGCTTTCACAATTACTGGCCTTTACAAAACTATGAATATGTTGGTTGATTCTGTCCACTAGGTGGCAGGAGAGAGCCTTGGGATGATCCATTTGAGACAACACATGATCTGAGAACATCATCAAAACAATGTTGTTTTTTTTATATAATAGTTTATTTTTGCCTGTCTGTAAATCAAACAGATCCTCTGGCTCCTGTTGGAGTTGATAAGGAGCACAGAGGCAGCAGCAGAAGCTGTCCACAGACAGTCTTGCAAGGGATGTGGCTGCATCTTCCAAAACTTCCATAAATCGCTGACTTTTGTGCCCAAAATAGCTGTCAGTGGTGCAGGTATCACATGCTCCACTCTCTGCAGATTGGCCATATGTTCTGAGTGAAACACTGGGACATTGCTACAGTGTATAACTGGGAACTGTTTAGCTAGAGGAATTGTGTGGGAATAGGGGCCCCCCTTGCACCCTTTCAACTTGTCAGAGTGACAAACTGGGGAACTGTACAGAAAAGGACAGGGTGGAGACCAGCTGTATTCATCCCTCTGTGACCTCTCATTGCTCTATCCTCATCCCAGCCTAGACCTACCCACTCTCCTCAAATCTAGATCTTCCCTGTTCCCTGCCCACATCCCCCGCCTGCCAGTCCACCCCCCCCCCCATTTACAAGTGCAGACATGCCAGCTCTCCCGAATT